AAGGGAAGGGAAGGGAAGGGAAGGGAAGGGAAGGGAAGGGAAACCCTCCCTTAAAATGAAAGTGAGCTCCCAGCTGCTTACAATTGCCTTCTGCCTCTGCCTCTCCCTTTGTTTGGCCCTTTCAGACTCCCGCTTCTCATACTCTTTGCGGTATTCTTCCCTCTTCAGCCTTTCGTGCTGATATTCCTCGTAGCTGTCATACCTGAGAAACATAACTTCATCATTAAGTCAACCGTCAACCGCCTCCATTTACCCAAGCAAAACGAATCATGATCGGGGGAGGGGGCAGGGTTCGAGCTAACACCGCGTCATCTAGAGGAGGGGGTGAGAGGAGCAGAAGGAAAATGACAGGCACCCTCACCTGGGCCTCCGGCTGTAGGGCGACCCGGAACGTGATCTTGCGCACAGAGGAGAATTTCGGTGCGCGCGGTGTCTGCAGTGGCTCGACTCATAGTAGTAGCAAGATCTGGGAGCGAGAGGAAAAACAGAGAGGGCATTTGCAACTGCCGCTTCACCCCGGTTTACTGGCACGACAGAATAGCCCCCGGAACACCGTGTGACAGAGAGCGGCTTTTTCCTCCTAGCTACTGGTGAGATTTCCCGGTGGCGGTTTGTGATGGTGTAGTCAGCTTAGAGGTCTGGGGAGTGATGTGTGCTTTCCCAGCCTCTCTTATTGATGCTAACGCCGAGCGCCAGTCTGGTACAATGTCAGCTTTATCTCGCGTGGATCTCAACTGTACTGGCACAGGGCAACCCTCCAGGTAATGGAAAAAGTTAGGGGAGCAAGTAGGTTTCTTACAAATTGCTCTCTGTGATCCGACTGGCTCAAGCCACTGTGCTCAAGGCTGACAGATTTAAGATGAGGAGGACTGTCTGTGTGACAACATCCTCGTTAGTTCCAGAGGCACTGGGGATGCGGTGTTGAGGGGCCGGGCTGCCTGTGGGTTGTGAGTGTGTGTTTTGGTTTTGTTTTGTTTTTTTTTTTTTTTTTTTTTGGTTGGTTGGTTGGTTTGTCTGTTTTTTGGACCTGACGCTCTGGGGTGGGTGATGACAAGGTTACCTTGAAGAGGATCTACTGCCTGGGGACCTTGATCTTGACCTGGAATATGGTGATCGGGAACACGACCTGTGTCGAGAAAAGGACCTTGAACGAGAGCGCATCCTTTGGGGTCTTTGAGAAAATAAGGATTTGGGTGGTGACACGGAATCTCTACACGGAGAGTTAAAAGAGGAGCAAGAAGGCGACACATCGAACAACGAATAGGATTGTGTGCCATCCCAAGGGTAGTTCAGTTTATCACTTTCATCTTCACTGTCATCAAACAGGCCATCCATGGCTAGTCCTGAATTTATAAACATAGGTAGTTTGGAGAATTGTTCATTACTGAAATCACTGTCCCTCAGTTCACTGGTCTTGTCTGCTTCGTCGTCAAAAACAGCTTGACTGGGATGACCGAAGTGCTTGTTCAGCTCGGCTCGGATTTCCTGGTCTTGGAGCTGTTTTCTGGTGCTGCAAGGAGAGACCTGCTTGCCCGCCCCCGGAGTCTCTCTCAGGTAGCACTGGTCTGAATCTGTGGAAGAACAAATCTGCCCCTGCCAATCGGAGGGGGCATCTTTATATTCTAGTTGTCTAGAGTCTTGGAGCTCCTGTGATATATTAATGAGTATTTCCGTTTTGGAATTAATCGACTGACAATAGTCATGGTCACCAAACAGCCGTAGGCTGGGCCGCTTGGCCTTCCTTTCCTCGTGTCCACTGGTGAGCACGGAGGTCTTGCTGAGTTGTGCGTACAACTCAGACTGCTCGGGCCCCTTCTTGGTGGAGTTATTGCCTTGGGTGCCAGGAGGCTCACTGTACCTGGGCTTCTTTGATGGAGGAGGTCCCACAGTCTTGCAAGAGGACTTCAGCTTTGGAGAAGTCCTGAAAGGGTTATCTTGGTTGGCTTTGTGAGGAGGAGTAGTGGGCGGAGTTAGGCCTATGGGAAAAAGAAGGAGGGGGGTGGGGAGAGAGACAAGAGATGGAGATCATGTGGTTAAATGCCAGGACAAGTGTTCCTAACTTCTCCAGGGCTTCAGACAATGGCGAGAAAGAAGGTACACGAAATTCATGCAAGACCTGAAAAAGTACCTCTCTCCCTGTAAGCCCCTGTCACCAAGAAAAGACAGATTTCACTACTGGCAGGCGGCAGTGAAATCTGTGATATTTTGTGTTTTAAATGCCAATGCTAACAGACCTGGCCTCCCAGAAAACTCGAACGCCTCCCTACCGGCCTCCACGGGCACCAGACATTACCCAAGCTCGCATTTCCAAGGGCACCGTGCGTCTGCCTTATGGAACATTAACACAGCACGGCCCAGGGGGATCACAGAATAGCTTTGGTAGCCTTTGTCTGCAAGGAATTCTGAGGAGCACACAAGTGGCTCAGAAAAATTTCCCCAATCGAGGATCACTACCCAAGGAGCCCCAGAACTCGGCAACTTAAAAAAAAAAAAAAAAAAAAAAGATGGGATGACAGCAAATGTGGGGCAGGGTGGGAAGGACACAGACAACTTCAAAGGAAGTCCAGTAAAACACGACAGACGAAAGCAGGGAACCAGACAACTGTGCAACTTGACGGCAATGATTCTTTTGTCTCCACAGTTCATTAACTTAGTAAACCATGGCTAATGTAGGTATAATACTTTCTTGTAAGCATAACTAATACATTCTGTCTAAAATATGGTTCTGCAACAGAAACCTAAATGAACAGGAACACTAAATATTGCAGTGCTAGTGGACCATTTTATTTAGAGCACAACATCGGGGCGGGTTAGGAGGCTGAAGGACTGAAACGGACCCAAACTCCGGCAACCAACTAATTAAAAAAATAATAATAAAATAAAGGGAGACCAGAGACACCCCATCGGTTGGTGTCTTTCGTCCTTTTCTACAGAAGAGCAGAAAATGCCATCAGATGGCCATGGTGGGAGAGTCTGTGAGCTGTAGTTGCCTCCACTATGTTTCACCCCTGAGAAAGTTCTACTCATCTCTTCACACCGAGGAAGGATAATTGGGAAATGGCTCCAGAGTCCAAGGAACTTTGAAGAAGGGCACGCTAGGGTTCAAATGACTTTATGCTTACAAGGGAACATTTGAGTTTACAATCCATTTTCTATTCGGGAGGATGGGTGAACGCCGTTCAGCAGAGTTCAAGTCTGCTAACAAGTCTGGGGTTAGACTTAAGGCAACTGCACATTTCAAGGAAATGGCCGAAAAATCTGACTTTGCTGGAGAAAAGGGAAAAAAATACACACACACACACACACACACACACACACACACACACGACCAAGTAGGTCACAGAAAGCCACATGCAATTTTGGTATGAACAGGAAGATACTGTCTCTTTTTCCTACTTTGCAATAAAAATATGGAAGAAATTAATATTTCCTGTATAATAAAATATTTGACACCACTATTTGGCAATTTTTATTCTGTACGGCTAAAGCTTTCTAAATGAGGGGAGAAAGGCTACAAAAATGCAAAGTAATGTGACTTTGGAAATCCACCCCAGAAAAATTCAGAAAGACAGGGGAATACAAACACAGAGAAGGGACCCAGCAGAGTCCCAGAAAAGCTCCCTAGATTAGCAGGCACCCCCACATGCCTTCCGTACTCTTCATTTGAAGGCAATAGGGAGGTGACATATTATACAATGAAACCTCCATGTCACTGAGGCACACTCTCCTTTTGTCCCCTCTTTCACGGACAGGTATGCCTTTTACTCGCTCTAAGAGATTCTTATGTATTCAATCTTTCTCTCTCTTTTTTCCCCTTGTTTCCTTTACCTTTCGCACTGCCCCGTTTCCAACACTCATTTGTACCACATGCTGTCTTCAGTTACCATTACAACAAATTTAAAGATACTAATGCTCCTCCAAAGAAACGATAAATTCTCAGATACTTCTCACAGGAGGCTAAGATGCCCAAGGAAATAATGATGAATAATCTCTCTTTGCTCAGCCAATAAAAGTCAAATATTGCAAATGACATAGCCTTTGAATAGGGGAAATGACATTCGACATCCTAAAATCCAATTCCATAAATCTTCTCGTGGTTCCCAAATTAGAGTAGTTGTTACATTCCTAATAATTTATTGCCAGGATCACTCGTTTGATACTTATCAGATAATGCTCTATATTCTTGCTCATCTCTTTTTGGAATGTATAGTTTATCTTGTCTTTCCAAATAGATTATGTGCTCTTAGGAGAATGTTGCTTGGGCTTATTTGTGCAAAAATTCTTGTACTTTTTTTAGAAAAATTTTTCTAGATTCTCCTTTAGTAGCGGGTCTTATATTTCAGTGGCTCAAGAATACCTTGGGAAGCTGGTCAAACATTTTTAATGAGGTGGTTCATGGGCCGCATATGGAGAGCCTCTGTCCTGTCATGTCTAAGTAGCACATTGCCTTGTTCTCAGGTGTATGTATTTTGACTGACATTCTAGACTTATAAAAAGAAACCCTAAACTTCAGAAACACCAAATTAGGCCACTATTAAAGAGAGACTAGTTCTAAAAATAGCTCAGCTATCTAGGGATTTTAAATATAGAAATTCTTTTTAGTCTTGAACATTCGAAACCCTTGTCCTAGTACCTAAGCTCATTATCACTTAAATAACTGATTCTCAAGTTGCTCTGGGGAGTGGCGACACCCTGCTGGTAGTTTGTTCGCTTGAGTTTTTTTGTTTTTGTTTTTGTTTGTTTTTTGAGTTAAAAACAAAGCCTTTTCCCTTCTGCACATTTTGGAGGGCCTATGGGGGTGGAGCAGACATTCACTGGGCTTGTACTCTGTGCTGGGTAAGACACCAAGATGCTGGTATTTTAGGGACTTCATGGTTCCTTTTAATAAACGGGCAATTGCCTAAAACTTGAAGTAAGCCTATGTTCTTACGTATGTGCGTAAGATTTCCGGAAACACTCCGAGATAACCAGATAGACCCCACGAGGGAGAATACAAGGGGTAGAAATTTCTGTGGGCACTGCTTGTTAAAAAAAAAAAAAAAAAAAAGTAATACCTGCTTCATGGATGGAAGTTATTTCAGGATTAGTGAGTGGGTGGGTAAGGGAAAACAACTCAGATAATTCCCTAAACTTTTGTACTGTTTACTGAAATATCTTTATTCAGAGAATACCTCCAAGCAAGACTGGGAAATCTCAAGGATGCAACCACCAGTGCCTAAGTGAAAATCTATTTCCAGATATAGTTGAGACCTAAAGCAAAACAAAGCAAAACAAAAGCGTGAGAAGCACTGTATATACTTCTATATATAAAGTAGTGTCAAACTTTCAAGAGCCGCTGATAGGACAGAGACCCCTTGCCGCACCTGAACTAATTGGATTTCTCCCATTTCCCCACCCAGAACTCTGTCCCCTGCGGGAGGAGGGCAGTCAATACTCAATTCCTTAATGCCACTACCTTTGCTCATCTTCCCTCTCATGGCCAGACTCTCAATTTCACCCCACAAGCTTAAATCAACAGGGCTAATGCCTCCCATAACCTCCGGATTATTTCCTGTGTGTTGATTTTCCGGGGAATGTGTACATTTTGGTGTTGACAGTACAAGGTATATTCCATGCTCTCTCTTGAACTTAGCAGGTTTTGACAGATTTATGTGAGGACAGATGGCCATTACAGGCTGAAGGCTGACAAGAGGCAGTTCAGAGCATTGCTAACACACTTGCACAAACTCTCAGCAGTGCAGCACTGTGCAGAATGTAATTCAGACTATAGCTTTTTTATTACTGCCTGTTTTCTTTTGTCAAAAGAGCCTGCTGTGCAGAGCGACAAATGGCTGCTATTACCCGGAATGTAATGGGTGTCAGACAAATCACGTAACACAAACAATCAAGAGTATGTAGGTCATATTTCAACAGAGCACAACCTTAGCAATATTTATGATTACTGCATTGAAATGTGTTCTATAATAAACAAGTACCTCTGCATCACTCACACTTAGGCACTTCTGCAAAGCAAGTCTGGGGAAAGTGGTGCACACTCCACAGTCATCTTTTTAAACAGCCCTTTTATTTAAAAAAAAAAAAAAAAAGTCAGAGACAAGTTTTGTTTCGTTTTTCATTATGGGCTATAAAACGATTTTCTTTGAGGAGTTCTCTCTTGGGTTTGTTTGTTTAATTGCACGACTCTGATAAACGGTGACTCCTCTCTGTTTTGCGTGTTCCACTGTCTACGCAGTGACTTCAGCAGGGTTTTGCTTGTTTTTTGTTTTTGAATAGTTTACAGTATTTTGCAGAACCTAATGCTGTATCTGTGCCTTGCCTCGGAGTTTCTTTGACGGTGGGATTTCCCTTAGGCCACATGTCGATTCAGATATTTCTTAAGGACAAACAGTGGGAAGATGAGGTTCTCATTTGCTTCAAGCCTTCCCAGAAAGAAAGAAGGACTGGGCAGAGAGGCGTGTGGCTCCTCCTACCCACATAATCTACGCCTCAAGAATCTGGAGATTGTAGGAAGGGTTGACACTCAGTATGAACTGTGACTGCTCTGCCAGTGAGAATATTTTGTTAAAAGAGCTGCTCCTGTGCTCTCACCCACCCCCAACTTCCCGGAACTCACCGGAGCCCCAGAGGAGCCAGCCACGGAAGTGTTAATGCTTGCACAGGGGAACATCCCACACCCTGCCCAGTACTCTGGCTGCCATCAACCCTGGCTGGTCTGAGGGCCAGTGCTCCTGACTTTACTGCTTTTTCAGTATTTCCTACATCACCCCTGATTCCCGGAGAACAAATCGGCCTCACGGAAAGCCTTCAGAACATTCCTAGGACATGTGCCTAATTCCCCAACTCTTGCTCATGGAAGATGAAGATACTAATTGGTTCCCCTTGCACTTTCCCACAGAGCTGGGGCAGGAGTAGGGATGAGGGTGGGGGTGAGGGGGTGACGTTTCTGGGAACGTCGATCACCAACTCCCCCCACAAG